AGGCCTGTCACAGCATCATTCCCATACCTAGGGATTCCCCCAAAAGCAGCACTCTTGGCTGTCAGGAAGCAAARGGGACTGGATCCAGAGACCTAGTAWGGTATCCTTCAAACACCATTACTGGGGAAGTGACTGCCCCTTCCTCTAAGTGTCATGGAAGGTGAAAAACCAGAAAACTTCATCAACAGAGGCAGGGGGAGAGAGGCGAGGGTGACAAAGCAGACAGACCTTCAGCAAGCAGCAGGAGAGCTTGGTCTCCAGACAATACCTGTCAGGCACTCAGAGACAGGGATATGACAGGCACACCACAACTGTCCACTCAGCTGAAGACACCACTCACCAGGTGGTTTTTCCCCATTAGCTACCCTGAACCACTCCTACTGGAGAAATGAAAAAGGAGTCTGAGGGTTTCCAACTTCAGAAAACATCAGGGTCAATCAGGTGATGCAGGTCCTGTCAGGTGATGCAGGTCCTGAGACAGCAACTTTGGGAGGAGAAGATGAGTCTAATGAACTGCCACAGGAGTTTCTGAAACCACCTCCAGTGTGGTTAAGGCTCTCTCCTTGCACCTCATTTATTCCTGCCTTAGTCTAGGACCTGTAAAACCAGTGGCATGAAGAGGAACACACAGTTTACCTCTTCTCAGGAATCAGCAATCCAGTGGAAGTCCTGGACACTCCTGATCAAAACTCTTGGGATCTCTTTCCAGCCTGCTACACAAGGGAGTTCACCTTGTCCCATTCATGAAGAGGATTTAATACCCCAAAATCTCAGTTTATAAGGCAAGAGAATAAGGCTCTCCCAAGAAGTCCACAGAGGCAGCTGTGCTTGGGGCAGTGTCACAGCAGAAAATTGTCTTTATTTGTTCAAGAGATAAGGAGGGAGTACAAATGAGGGCACTCCTCATGGAATGGGGCACAGAGATGAAGAACAATCTCAGATCAACCTATGTTAAGAGAAAAGTATTTACTAACTTAGTACCCTCTACTACCCTTTTTTATAGGCAGCATGTAAATGGTGCTGATTGGGACAGTATGTCAGTAAGGGCTCCTGGGCTGTGGGGGAACTGTGGTGTTTGAGACTGCAGAACACCTCGGATCCCATCATCTCCTGTGCCTTCACACTCTGACAAGGTGAGGCCTTGCCTGGGTGTTCTTCCATCCTGTACAACCCCTTTGGAGACRCAATGCCTTACCCTTCATCATTCTGAGACCACACATCTGCCCACCCCATGGAGGAAATTCACATTTTCTTGGTCTTTCAAGTCACGTACAGTGACAGTGATGCCTTTAACATTGCTTTTCTTTACGTTGCTGTGCAAGTGCTGCAGTAACAAACATGAAGTAAAGCTGCAGGACAGCTGGGATCTGTGCTCAGAAACTTGGCTTTATTAAGGCTCTGGCACACTTCACCCTGGTACCAAGGTGGCAGAACTTGTCCCATGCCATGGGACTCAGAGTTTCAATACTTACGTTTGGGCCATGCTGCCCAAACAGTGTGGAAACCATCCAGAGATGCATTGTTCAGTGCTCCTGAGCACCAGCTTCTGAAATTGTCTATGGATCAGCAGATTTGTCACCAAGCATGCCACAGAGAGATGTCCTCGAGGCCCTGTCTGAGGGTCTGAACATCAGCCCTGCACTCAGCAGTGCCTGGCAGCTGCAGAGCTCTGTACTGGATACAGTCACTGTCCCAAGGGCTGGGGGGAGGATTTGTGACCATTCCCACCCTCACCAGCTGGACCCCAGCTCCTCTGCAGAGCAAGCCCAGCCCAGCACAAGATGAATGAATTCCACGCCCTGCACCAGATACTAAACAGGGATCACTTGTCCACTCAGTACAGATGGATCAAAAGCTCACAGTGACTTCAGAGGTGAGCTCATGACAAAGTTGAAGGCAGGAGAGCTTAGAGGCTTTCCAATTTGGAAATGGGAAGAYTGGACATTCCCCAAATCCTGCAGCACTGCCACTCCAACCTTATGGGCTCAGCTGACCATGCAAAGGGGAGTAAAGTTCATGCACAAAATATGAAGCTACTTCAAAACATTCACCTGGGGCAAGCACACRCTCTCAAAGCACCCACAAACACACRAGAACAAAGTGTTCTTTCTCACTCTGGGATCCCATCCCTGCTTTGAGGGCTGCTTTGTGCATTGCACATGGAACAGTCATCACCTGGAAACAGAAGTGCTGCTAAGAGCAGGAACCATAGACCCAGACAAGCTTGTGTTAACTGGACCAACTCTTATCTGAAGTACAGAACTCTTTCGGCCTCTGTGTCCTTAGCCCTGTGATCCATGGTATCCACAGCCGAGAAAAGCACAGCTTGAAAGGATCYTGTACAGAGAGGGAGTTAAGGCACTTCTGTAGGAAGCAGAAGATGGAGATCTGAATCCCTGCCTGTCAAGAAGGAAACTGAACCCAGGACTCCTTGCAGCAGTTGTGTCCCCTTGAGCTATTCCAGGAAGCAGGACCCTCCCAAACCACGTCCCCAACACGCTGATACCCAGGAGAGAGGCACCCAAGGCATTACAGCTGCCCCTCTGCCCCAGACACCTGAATGTGCTGTGTTCTGCCCAGGCCTGGGGACTGCAGGCAGCCTAGGACAGAGCCAGGAAGGGTTTCCCAACACATTGGATCCATCCTGACCCCCAGGCTGCTCCCAGCAGGGACAACTTCCCTGCWGCACCTTGGACCTTAGGGCTGGCACACACAGTGCTGGCCCAGGGAACTGGACATGAGGAGCATTGTTGTGTGCAGGGCTGGGCTGGGGCCAGCCTGGCTCCCTGAGCTCACAGGGAATCCTTATCTCACTGCCTGCAACTCCCAGCGGCTGCACAGGAAGCTGCAGGAACACACAGTCCRTGGGGGAGAGGGAAGGAAGCTGCATCTCCCCTTCCAAGGATAGAGCAGCTCAGGAGGGTCACAGGCTGAATCGCTCTTGTGCTCTGGCTTCCCAACCACCGCAGCTCCCGAGCCTGGGAAAAACTTCAGCTAAAGCAGGAAATTTGCTCTTGGGGGGTGAGTTCAGGTAAAAGGGCATCTCTGTGCCATATTCCTCAGAGATGCCCCTTTGAGGCAGACCCAAAGCTGAGCTGCTCCTTAGGGGCTCCAGAGCCACACTGGGATCTTGTCTCCCCCAGGCATTTCCACCTGAGCAGTTACAGCCCAGCACTGCACAGATGGGGCTATTACAGCTTTGGGGCTGGGTGCAAATCTCTTCACTGACATTTTTAAATTACATTTCTTAAGAGGCACATGCCTAGAGGACTCAATAATGTGAATTACAGTATTAAAATACTATATCCCCATATTAAACAACATTTCATGCTGACTCATGTAGTCAGCCCAAGCTCTGACTCCCACAGCTGCACCTAAGCCCCCTCTCACAACAAAGATCCCCAAAAGTGCCCAAATAAAAAAATGGTCACTCACGTGCAGAGAATTGATTGGTCCTCACGGTCTGCAAAACAAGAAGAAACACAGAGAGTCAGAGAGTTTTGTTTACACTGTTCTGTAATTTGCAACACAATTTCTTTTAATTAAGTATTTCTAACATTCATCTTTGCAGTTAACAATTCTAAGGACACTCTGAAGCAATTTTAATAATATCCCTTCAATAATATCCCCAGTTCACACACAGCTCAAACAACAGTTTAGAAGTTTCTACAATCAGACATTTCAGACAATGCAGACAAAATTCTAGTTAAACAATCATCCATGGTAAGGTTTTTAACTATATTTTCAGATAAGGTGGACCTAACATTTCTTATTCTATATGCACAAATAATTTAAAACCTTTTGYGAGGAGAAGAGTTTCAAGCACGCAATCCTGACAGGCACACAGTTSGGAAGAGCACTGCAATCTCCAGCAAACAAGTGCTTTCCTCCCCAGCGTTTTGTTTTCTTTTTTAAATGACCAYGCAAGCCTGAAGAGCTCCCATAATTCAGCTTATTCATGAAAGTCTTGTCCAAAGGACATCAGGGAACCCAAAATGCTGCAGAGCTGTGGCTCAGCACTTCTGTGACACCCAGAGCTGTGCTCACAACCTTTGAGAAGAACTTGTGAAGGTCACATACACCCTGCAAGAGCTATTTCATCATAACAAGAGCTTCACAGAATATATTTCAGCACCATATTAAAAATTAAATAATCAAAACATTCAAATACACCTGCAGCAAGCAAAACATTTCAGTTAAAGGTGCTTTCTGCCCTGTTTGAGCCAGGTTTCAAGGAGTTCAACATCTTTCTCCTGAATTTGCATCACAAAGMTCTTGCTTTTACACCTCAGCTGTTTCACACCAGCTCCAGGACAATGCAATTGTCTCCTGCAAGCTCAGAACTTCAAACACGTTTTCTGTTCTGACTGGCAATTTGAAGTTGATTACATTATAATGAATAAAATCAGGTTTTATTTTGCACAGACTCCTGGCCMCTCCCTGCGTTTTCCAGCCTGGAAAATCCCTCCCAGCCCATGGAGTCCATCCTGTGYCCATCCCCACCTTGTCCCCAGCCCAGAGCACTCAGTGCCACCTCCAGCCCTTCCTSGGACACCTCCAGGGATGGGSACTSCAAASCTCCCTGGGCAGCCCCTGCCAAGGCCTGAGCACCCTTTCCATGGGGAAATTCCTCCTGATGTCCCCCCTGGCCCTGCCCTGGCCCAGCCTGAGGCCGTTYCCTCTCCTCYTGTCCCTGTTCCCTGGAGCAGAGCCCGACCCCCCCGGCTGTCCCCTCCTGTCAGGAGTTGTGCAGAGCCACAAGGTCCCCCCGGAGCCTCCTTTGCTCCAGGCTGAGCCCCTTTCCAGCTCCCTCAGCCTCTCCTGGGGCTCCAGACCCTTCCCCAGCTCCATTTCCTGCCCTGGATGCACTCCAGCCCCTCCATGTTCTCTGGTCAGAGCYGGACACAGGGCTGGAGGTGCCCCAGCAGTGCCAGCTCAGGGGAACTTCCCKCTCTACTTCACTAAATATACAAATATAAATATAAATACATGAAATACACATCKCCAGCAGTGAGCTGTGTCTCCCACCCATTGCTCTACCTGATGCAAACAGCTCCTGTTCCGCCCACTCAGCTCCCTGTGCAGGTTTGGGCCATAAAACAGCACAACCAACATGGATTTGGTCTGGTTTGTGTTGTGTTCCATCTGTACCTTCACAACTGCACAGAAAACTCTGCTGGTGGCAAGGAGACCCGAGATGCCTTTTCTATCCAGCAGCCCCCATCTGATCAGATGGCATGGTCATACAAACACAACRTATTTTAAAAAGCAAACCAGCTAAAAAAGATCCAGTCCTAACAAAATTCTGGTGTTTAATTTTTTTTATGAATAGAAACATTGAATCACTTAGGTTGGAAAAAAAATCCCAAGATTGAGCCCAATCACAGAAATAGAACAGAAAGTCTGAAGGACATGAAGGTGGAGCCTGCAGCAAGCAGCTGCTCCTGCAGGATGCAACCACAGGCTGAGCCCTGGCAAATTTCAGACTGCGTTATCACCAAGGATGACAAAAAATGGAGCTGCTTTCTGACTGAAAAATGTTGAAAACATGCAGTCAGTTGTACTTTGAGCCCGTTGTTCAAACATACCAAGAATTACAAGTGATGCCCCAGCAGCTGCACTGGGCTGTGCTTCCCYAGGAGCAGAAGGTGAATCCTGCACCTGTGTCTTGCAGGCAGGTGTGAGCTCCAAAAATCCCTCCTGAAGGGTAAYAAGCAGCAGAATAAATGCAGGAGGAGAACTGCAGAATATTAATTCAGATTATTAAAAGTGGGACAGAAAAATTCCCCGAGCTGGTGCCCCTCCTGACCAGCCTGCAGGGATGCTCCCGGATCACTCCCTACAGTTACACGAGCTGCAGCAACTCCTGCACAAACACACCACAAAGAGCAATDGGAAGCCTGGGACTGCAAGAAATGGAAGCTGAGAGTGGGCAAAAGCAGTGGGAGTAGGACCAGAGAAAAGTGAAGGAAACACTCGTTTATGTTCTGGGTGTGATATCTGCGAGCTGGTCCTCTAAGACCTATCAAAAAGGAGTTTTTGGTGGCAGGAGCAGAGCCAGGACAGCCCCTGGATGTCCTGCAGAGCCACGAGAGTGCAGCTCTGTGCCCCTGACCCGCTCCCAGGGGCAGCCAGCAGTGACTCAGGCACTGAAGCAACTCCGTACGCCAGCAAAAACTCAAGGTGACGCAGGACAGTACAAATCATTTGTTCTTTCACAAGAAACAGCTGAATGAAAGCCAAGTTGGGACCGTGAGTAGAGTTGAAAGTTAGTCTTTCTTAGCTTTAGTATTTACTGAGGCATTTTTTTAAGTGACAACTTGATTTTCCCCTTTCTTACTTCCCAAGAATAACTTCACTCTAATTTTGGCACTGTAGCTGGGCCATTACCTCAAAAAACAGAGTCTTCTCTAAACTAGAGCTCCTCGGTTTAGCACTTCAAAAAAACTTAGGAACACAGCTAACATTTACCTTGAAGTTTAATTTATTTAAAGACAGTGTGTGTTTGTCAGTGCTTTGTCTCAGGACATTTGTTACTGGTACATTTACCATGCAATGCTGCTGTGCCACAGCACACAAGGCACACTGCATAAATGAATTATCTTATCCAATTAGGCCTAGAGAAAGTCTACAAGTCCAGAAAGTTGTATTTATTTGTCATTGCCAGAAGCTCCAGCAAGTGCAGCCAAGCTTTTTAACTTTCTCTGTCCAGGAGTCTGAATGGACACAGGCATTATAAAGTAAATTATCTGCACTCAAGTATGTCATTCCAGATCCAGTGTCCATCTGGACTCTGAACCTCACACACCATGGAAGTGGAAATAAGACAAGAGCAAGCTTCAAGGTTTGCCTTGTGATCCCTTCCTGATGCTGACAGCTTYCAGCATCCAGCACAGACCTGACAATACCCAAAGTTACACAGGAGGCTCGGGTGCTGCTTCACACAGTGGCAAATGCCAGGTGCCTTCTGGCTCAAGAAAGAGCTGATCTCCCCAGACCCACTCTGAAAAAGACTGACAAAATTACTACTGTAGAAGGGTTATTTATGGTGCTTTCTTTTGCCCTTTTGCTCCCCCAAAGAACACAWCGTGTTCTGATTTCAGAGCAGGTTYYCCCTCAGGACTGCACCCACATCTCCCTCAGCCTGCCTTGAAGGGCTGACCCCATGTGTGGCTCTTGCCAGATTTGTTCTCTGGGGTGTGGAAGAAGCTCTAAAGTCCTCTGAGCAGACCCCAGGGCTTGGCTGCTCAGGGGTTAAAGCAAMTCAGCTCCCTAATCAAAGATGCTCAGCGAGTCAATTGAGCTCAATCAGGTGAACAGAACAAACCACAACAGGCAAGTCCCACTGGAATCTACCACKTAATGCAGCTTGGATTTAAATATAGTCCAAGGTCTTCAAGTGACACTGAAGCCCATAACATTCAAGCTGCACAGAAAAGGTTTYATACAATAGCCCTAATTTGAAAATCAGATTTAATGTTATGCAGAGTCTATGAATAAAAAAAAGTTCTTTTCTGCTGATGAAATAACACTTTCTGTGGACTAGGATATCCTTTTGAAAGGAAGAATCTGGAAGCACGAAGGCATTACAACCTGATACTCCAAAAACTTCCAGCTTTAGGCTGGAGCTCCCCCACTGCTGTAATTCAACTTGAGCAGCTGGTGATGTCTCYGTTTCCTGTGCCCAGTGTCCCAGCCCATTCCTCCCTGCAGCAGGCAGCTGACTGGGCACATGCACAGTAGCTGATGGAACAGCAAAATTTAGTTTTCAACCAGATCAGCTCCCTGGTGGAGTTTGTACCAGAGCCAGCCAAAGACTGGAAGTAACATATGGAAAATGAGAACCAGCTCTTGTGCCAGCTACTGAGGCTCTGCTCACCTTCAGGCCACAGTGAAAAGCACATTCCGCAGCTCAGGTGAGCTGCAAACCCTTCCCAGCAGAAGGGGCCACCTCCCCCATCCCCAGGAGTGAATGTCCCTCACTCCTGCTCCTTTCACCTCCACCCAAGGCASAATCCCAGGCCCAGGTGAGGAGCAGCTGCTGTTCCCAGCCAAAGCCAGCTCAGTGAAACGCCTCACATCACAGGGACAGACCCTTGGAAGAGACGCCAAAGAGAATGACCAGAGCACAACTCAGGAAGAATCAGCTCTAAAATTCATTTTTACCTACTCTGCTCTCCCCTCCCCAGAGGAATTAGCTCTGGGGACAGCAGYTGGCAGCTCCTCAAACAAACCTGGTGCTCAGCTAAACAAGGGTTTTTAAAAATCCTGTCAGAATGGATCCTGATGTTACAACAAAAAGCAGGAAGTTTTGACTGTCAGAATACAAAAACATTTGACTTCACACCCCTTCATTCACTGAGCTCTGGAAGGATATCCCCCACAACAGACCAGACTTAACAAACCTCCTGTTAACTCCACGGGAAAGCTCCACAAGGCACATTAAACATTTATTGGGTAACT